TCGAGATAATCTTCAACTACCAGTCAGGAGATTGCAATTTCAATTTCCATATGATTCGTGAGGTGTGGACTGACAGTGACTCATAAGAGGGATGAAAAGGCTCTCTACTGTTTCTTGACTTTTAAACGTAGATTAACTGCCTACAGGATGAATTCTAGGTGTGATATTTTGTTTATTGTTTGAATGTCGAGCAGTGACATACATCCCCTCATAGCAAATAAAGAGCAGTTGTGCAAGCATTTAGCGTTTATTGATGACCACATCCCAAGCTCTTCATTTGGTCGGTAGTATTAATTGACCAACGTACAAATTTCCACACCAATTCACTAACAACAAATCTCTAGTCGAATCTGGGACTGTTTTTCATGCAATCTATCTGGTTATGCGCTTTGTTGTCCTTCAGAGCAAAGTCAAATAAAGACAGTTATGCAAGCATTTAGCGTTTATTGATGACCACATCCCAAGCTCTTCATTTGGTCGGTAGTATTAATTGACCAACGTACAATTTTCCACACCAATTCACTAACAACAAATCTCTAGTCGAATCTGGGACTGTTTTTCATGCCATCTATCTGGTTATGCGCTTTGTTGTCCTTCAGAGCAAAGTAAATTCGTCACCCAACGAGACTCCTAGTTGTGCAGTCTGAGTAGTTCTAGTATTAAGAATGTGTGGATTTCACCAAACTAACCCATCAGCTTCGAATGTCCGATCACGGATCGGAATTCTGACCAGTGCACGTTTGACACCGGCCCAATGCAATGAGTAAAAAACAACCATCTGTGAATTTCTAATCATGAACACCAATTTAACTCATTTTCAGTGCAAAGCCACAATATGACTCCAAAATCCAGAAATCGTGGTTGACTTTGCTTAACAACAAGGGTGACATGCTTTTTGTCTCTAAATGATCTAGAACTCAAGGTCAGTGATTCATTAACGCCTGCAGGCCCATGCCACAATCGAGCTGTTGTCCAACTCAGTATGTAAGCAACTTGTATGCACTCCTCACACGCTAGTAGGCTGTATTCATATCGGCCATTTGGGAAACTGAACGTTAATCTCATGACAAACCGAATTGTCAGAGTCGCATTAGTATGTGATACCTTCAGACTGCTACACAGTACCACTTTTGAAGAATGAATCACTGGTAGTATCTCAGGACAAATGTCTATAACAACGGAATATAGTTTTCCAAATATGTCCGATAGTCGACGCGCGCAACAGATGTGCCACACAATCATTCGGTCCAACTTACGGTATGCACACTCATCGCAAGCCAAGGTGGATTTTCTGTGGCAGTGTGGCCTTTAACTTATGGCAGAATAGAGGTGCTCCCACAAAAGAAATTACGATACAAATCAGGCACGCCATCTTGACTTCGAATGCGAAATTCAACAGTTTAATTAGAACAACCCAAGGCAACGTTCGGTACACAGAACAACAACAATAAATTACACCGGGTGCATTCTGTGCAATGATAAGCTCAAACGGAATGCGGTTACACACACACATTTGCTCCTTAAAACTGCCGTGAATTTAGCATAATCTGCACAATTTGTATTCTAGGGAAAGCAAGCGAGCTCTTTATGCCGAACCGACTACTAGACAAGTTGAGTGCTTCTTCTAACCGGTAGTTTCTAATGTTGCACTGACTTTGGCAATAACAGACAGTGTGAGAATTCCCATCAGAGAATCAAACTATGTCACTGAAACATTTTTCTCACAAATTCGTCTGTCTCACTCAATAGACTGCTCAAAGAAATCTGGTTACAGCTTGTCAGCACCTTTTCTATGGCAGAGAAGGTTACGAAATATTTCTTCATCCACATTCCCTCCGCCCCAATGATTTAAAAATATTGTAATAAAAAATGGCAAGCTTTTCTGGACATCACCTGAATGAGCAATTTATTGCCGGTTCTTTTGTTTCGTTCTTATGTTGCGGAGGATACGTTTTTGTGGAACTTTTGACGTGCATTTCCACGTGTAACAGTCACAAGGACTTTGCTCTCATTTATATAATTCATCATATAATATTATTTTAAGTTGAACCGAAGTGATGTAATTTACAAAGAATTTATGGTTATAGTAGCTGCAAGAGCATTTGGATCATCTCACACTAGGTAAGGACTATTTCGCTTGGGAATGTTGTAATATATCATGATACAAGCTCTCATTCCTTTACTTCAATGTGGGTTATTAGAGAACAAAGTTATTAATCTGGTATTCACATCTGGTATTTCCAGTACTGATCCTCAAGGAACACTGCTACAGACCTTCATAAAAAGCTTCATCGCTTACTGACGATATTGGGGCCAAGGTCACGTAACAAGGATATACCAACATTTTTTCATTTATATATTTATCTATATACATGACTCTGTATATCTGTATTCACGCCTGTCTAGAGGCACATAGGTAGATATACCAGATATATATAGTAGGGCAGCAATCGTGTTAAAATCCTTAACGAACCGGCTGTAGTATGCTGCTCGTCCAAGAAACTGCCGTGGAGACCGCTTTGAATTGGGAACAGCACAGACCCCGATCTTTGCCAATTTTTCTGGCAGTGGGCTAACCTCTCCGTGACCCACTTTATGCTCGAGCAGTGTCACTGAACTCCTAGCGGGTTGTGTCTTGGCTTCATTTATCTGCAGGCCAGCCTTTCGAGTACGCTTCAATATGGCCTTCAAATGAACTGCATGCTCTGGTTTCGAATTGCTGTACACAAGGATATCGTCTCCGAACACGGCAACATTCTGGAGTCCCTTCGTTAAACGAAGCATCAAGCGCAGGAATGTGAATGGTGCCCCAGACAAACCAAACGGCATTGGTTATATTGATATTGGGTGTCCTCAACCGTGAACGCCGTTTTCTCCCGGTCATCTGCCTTGATAGGTAGTTGCTAGTATCCGGAACGCAAGTCAAACACCGTGAAATATCGGGAATGTTGGAGTGAATCGAAAGTCTCCGCAACCGAAAGCACAGCTACAACCCGATTTACGGTCAGTTCATTCAAGCGCCCTAAATCCGCACAAAACCTGTATTTTTCCTTCGCCTTCCTTACAAACTCAACCGGGGATTTGTATCGGAGTGTTCATCGCCCGTGAACAGCTCGGAATATTCCTCGACCAAGGACTGTACTGATGGCACGTTACAAGAGGGAAGCCTTCGGACACGCAGCTCACTCACAGCAGTGCTTGGATAACCTTTGAAATTGACTGCGCCATATCTTGTCATCAGTTTTCCCTGCTTTAGGTCAATCACGGAATTTGTGCTCTTGAGAAAATCTGCCTCAAATATTGTCTACTCTATGTCTGGACTGATCAAGAACGTTTACTGCACGGACTTGTTGCTTAGGCATATTGAGTGCATTGACAATCCGTCAATTTTCAGTCGACATCCACCCACCGCTATCACGGCTAGGGCGCACGGTCTGCATTCAGCTTGGTTCCCTCTCTGCCTCAGCGATACCCCTGTTCTTATGTCAGTCAAGCAAATATCCTTCTTCCCGTCTATCTCTATAACGACTCGTATGGTAGCCTGTGTCACTGCGCTAATTGCAATCCATCCGGGAAAAGAAAAGTGGTTAGAATTTTTATTATGAGCAGGTGGTCGGGTACGATTGCATTGATTATAAAACGGCTAGGCGTGCAACCATTTTAGCACCAGCTCGTCAGAATGTGCCTCAGCGATTCTGTCCTTATGGCTGCAAGCTGTTCGGCGAGTTGGTACACTCTGGTCTGCATTTCCTCCACTGGTGAACAATTGCTGTTCTCCTTCAATGTGGCCAGTGGTGTCTCGGCCAATTCTCGTGCAGTATGCATCGGCTCCTCCACACGCAACTGGGCACGAAGCGCGGGCTGCACTCCTTCGAAAAACTGGTCAGACAGCAGCTGTTGGCGCGACACTCGGTCCAGTTCTGGCAGGGCAAGACCCAGCCACTGCTGCAGGCCGGCAAAGAACACTGTAGGGGCACATCCCGGTTCCATCCTGGCCGTGTTGAACCGCCTCATGGCCTCCCGGCGGTCGGCCGGCGTGTCGAACTTCGCTGCAATGGCTTCCTTCGTGGCGGCCCAGTCTATCTTCCAAGGGTATTTTCTGGTCGCGTCCGGGGCCTCCTCTGCCCTACCTCTGAGTAGGGTATTCAGCGCTGCTAACTTATACCGGCCGGTCTCCAGTCCAGCGACCTCAGCAACTTCCTCGAAGTCCTCCGGGAAGTTCCGAATATCCCCACCTTCAAGGGGTGGTAGCCACGGGATCTTCATCCTTACCCTGGCGACGGCACTAAGTGAAGGGAAGAAAGCCTTCGCCGTGGATTTATTTACTGGAAAACACCAGCTGAACAGTTACTGACTATTGAACAGGGAAGCAAACCTCTCGTATGGATCTTGTTTATAGTAACTGAGTATCTGTCTTCTTCTCAAACGCGTCTTCCTGACTTTCCTGGATACTCATTGACTATCACTCAAATGTAAACGAACGCTTCGAAGCAACTCCACAAATTTCAGAATAAATCTCGCTTTTCAATGGATTTGAAGCGGATTTATGAGAAAGCCACATTCCACTTGCATGCTTCATTACTAGTATCCACCGTTACACTACAACGAAGACTAACTGGCTTGTCTCAGATGTGTACTAACTGTTTCGTGCTTTCGGAAATTCCCTAAACAATATGAAGTCCATAGAACTGACAAAAGTCATGTGCTGCGATTTGCTAAGATTTTTTCTACTCTCTTGGGTCGCGGCCATAAACATTGCGTTTGACGAAAAATGTGAACAAATATTGAACAAATAGCCTACCTTTCCCGGGTTTACCTATTTCTAAACTTCATGAAGGGTCCATACAGCGTTCTAGCTACAACAAGTACACATGGAGCAGTCACTATTTAGAGTTCCGCATTTACTACTCATTAGCCCATAGGTGCATGAGGATAGCTCCTCCATTCTCAGGATTAAATAGTGAAAGAGAATCTTTGAAAGAAGACCTGCCCCAAAACAGCTATCCAGGAAATTTCATTGGGATTCGCAGTGAATCTGAGGCATATTCTACCTCCACTATTAGAAACAGTAAAAGAAGTATTAAAACAAAACAGCCTGTACCTGCTGTCAGTATTAATGAGATGAATAAAGGGAACGTGGTGTTTCAAATATCAGCTCCACTCTTCTTATTTGAGCATTCCAACCGGCTTGGCCGCTATGGAGCTACAATTCCAGCAAGGCAGGTCCGCTCTCACTTGGTATTCTTATCTTCTCTCACAGTCTGAGACTTTAAAGCACCAACCTATGTGTTCCCCTTTTCTTCATACAATGTCATGGCCCTAACAATGACCTTATCCATAAAAGGGACCTCCATGTATAGAAGTCCGGTGGTTAAGAATGGCCAGGATTACTACACTGTAACCAGGCAAAACTGCCACTTCTACGAATGTAAAACGGTGGGTCTCATTTACCCATTTTAGAAGAATAGGCAGAAAAGGTTAACTGCCGGATCTGAAAGTTTCAAATTAATCCCACCAGTAGCAGACTTAAAGGATTCACCAGGGTAACGGACATGGGAACAACGAGTTAAGGAGATAGAAAGACACCGGAGGCTGAAAAAGCAATGATTTTGGTGGCTATGGTCGTGTACAAGCGACTTTGCTTCACAAAAATCTAGCAGTGTCGGTTTTTCACGTGTAAAATATGGTGCATTTACGAACAGAGATATCAGCTGGCATATCTTGTGTTTTGTAGCCAAGGGACTCTAGTTTGATCTACTTGTTAGTGGTTCCAATCCGTGTCGCTGCAAGGTCTGTAACAAATGAATTGAACACACAAGGGCACATTACCACCCTGGCTACTACACGTGGGCTGTGATTACTCTGAACGATTATCAAATGAAGCACTTGATTTGGGAACCTAGGCACGTAGTACCTATCGATTTTTTTGTTTGTAGGTTTGCTGAGGTTGCAGAAATCTCCACAACTTTGACTTGATCAATTATTTGGGTGATGTCTATCGTTATTATCATCGTATTTTTGTTCCTTTTATATTTTTACCAGATCGTGGTGCTTTCGAGACAAGTGGTATAGTTATTCAGCGAAATCATAGCCTTGACGCCACAAAAACAAAGCAGTCGAGCACAATGTTAACAACAGACAATATCCCGAGCATAGCGCGTTCCGAACTGAAGGGATCAGCTGGCGGGTGTCACCCCATTCATAAGGAAAGCACCTGAAAAAAAGTTTTCAGATATAGTTTCAGAAAAATAAGGGACTGGAATGGTTCCTTTCTTCTCATCTGTGCCAATTTCGTACTCGGCGGTGGTGGCTCAACAGGTATCTACCCGGAAATATAAATCATTCTGATTGAATGTAAGACGTGAAGAACCAGGAAACCGCAGTGACACGTTTTGAAGTTCTCACATAATGGTTGCCGGTTCACACAAGCACGCCCAAAAGCCAGTGCACAGGAATACAAACAATCATTACGGATGAAATTTCTCCAAGGGACGTGAGTGGAAGAGAATGGTTTAATAAGAAGAATTTTTCAAAATCTATCAGCATTCGGGAGGACGATTTGGCGACCACAAAAACAGCCCAGGATGAGACAAACGCAGACTCGGAAGCAAGATATGGGCAGTAGGGTCGAACCCCTGAAGGACTTGTTGTGACCAGTAGAGTGGCAGATGGGCCAAATTAATTGAAGACCACCGGATGCATATGTATAGTCACTGACACAAGAACTTTTCACCGCAACTAAAAGAACAAAGTCGACTGTAAGCTTGACAGAACTCCGTTAGGTTGTAAACTTGACCCTTCAGCGTTACCAAACCTGACCGAAAACATGGACTTGCGCTCTATAGCTTGTCATCGCCAAAATGCGGTGAGGAACTAGTTTGTTGAACCGTCTACTACGGCGGAATTTTGGACACCCCTAAAGTAGCTACAAAACACGGCAGCTGAGGGTACGGATAATTTACTCTCGAAGCGTTGTAAGATGTGGAAACCAATGCTACAGATCGAAACTCTTTACTTGCTATTCATATTCTGCTGAGCTGAACGCGCCCTGCAGGATTCCAAAAAACCAATGAAGATTTCTTCGCATAAATTGGAAGGGCGGGAAGAAGAATGTAACCTACCGCGGAATAAGCCTTTAATACAAAGGGGAAATTTTATGCTTTATACCCCGCTCAATCTGCTGTTGGTTGATATTCTGAAAGAAAAGGTTCCCGAAGGAAATTGTAGATTTAAAAGCGATCAAAACATTACTGATCCTAGAATGCCTTGGAATGAATCACTGTTCTATAGACTGTTTGTAGGTTTAGACAAAGCTTTGGGTTATGAAAACAGAGGAGTGCTATGGATCGTCCAGGGAAGACAGTTGCTATTTCAACAGTCGTACAAACTTCATCAAAGACCTCGAACCTGGAGTTGGAATTCGGATGTGAACCGACGAAACCTCAACCGAATTCACAATGGAAGCAAGTGTGGAGTACAGATGTTTTCTGTTCCAGCACTTTTCAGCTTCTTTTTACCAGTTACTGGCACAGAAGCGTTGCACGGTGTGAGGCCGAAATGATCACTAACGAAAGCACTCCTTTACAGGTCTAATATCAGTATTCTTCTGAACAGCATCTTGCTCTGGTTTGAATGTACGCATTTCCGAAACTCATCTGTTACCAGACTGTACCGAGGGATGAAAGTAAGGCAGCAACCATTCACCTGAGTGGATCTGAACCGGCGCGTTGTACGGATTTTTGATACATTAACAGTACACTACAAGTAGGACTGCTGAGGCAAGCACAGAATTAAGGCACGTTCTGTAAATTCGTGTGGACCGACCACCACATGCCCATGTATCGGGGTGTTGTCTTGCCTTAACCAGCACACGACAGCGAACCCGGGCGCTATGCATTCCAAACATCCGTGTTATCGACAAACGTCTCAGTTAGTTTCTGTGCAGAATCTTCCGGACCGAATACACGCTTCGGCTACGGCCAGGGTCAACACCACAAAACAACGTTAATAAGTTCCACTGAAGGATGGCGTTCAAATCTTGACCTGGAGTCTATAAAAGTTCTATCTACACAGGCTCGACAAGTTTAGGGTACGATAAGAATCGTCTCAGGACTGAAAAACAAGCGCACAGTGTCTAAGGGACGGATTCTACTTAGTTTGTCCCCTACTGTGTTGAATCACGCAAAATTCGGACACAAATGTTTTATTGGGGCTCGTTTCTGGGGGTGATGAACCAAACACCCACGGACCGAATATGAACTTCTAGAACAGAAATATTCGCCTGACATTCTCGTCCCATGGAAGAGTAAATTACCAATCATACTACTAAAGTTAAAGTAGACTAATACCACACTAACAGGACAACCCTCAGAAACACTTGTACGTTGTCATACCGATAGGGGTTTTGAATACCACTGGAACATAAAGAAATCTACAGATTATACCAGTGCCCTTGAGGTGATCGATTAAGCGGTCTCGGTGCTCGTTGTCAAACTTGGGCCGGCTTATTACAGGCGGAAGTTCACCCACATATCTGGTTCCATCGGGTCTTTATGGACACCCGGAGCGATGCGTGTAACATAATGTTCATCTTTAGGCAAACAGTGTGTGGCGTCCGGTCATGCACAAGTGTCCAGTTGTTTGTCCAAGACTGAGAGAAACACGCGACCTGAATGACAAACATCTATGAATTTACATCGCTGCTGTCCTTTTAATCATGTAAAAATGTGAGATCGATCTTTTTAAAAGGGCAGTTAACACGTGGGTCAGAAGCCTCCGCGATTCACATTTGCCTTCTCAGTATGGTTCAACTGACTGGAAGGCCAAAATGGAGTATTCATAATAAGGATGAATCATGAACACGGTTCGAGGTATCGAGACCATAGTTTTGGTAACGTTCCCACATATCTTGTCCTATTACACATTTTGTGTCCTACTCAAATATGTTCGCACTGTCGAGTGGGCTGGGCGTATCCGGACAGCCGGTTAGAACAAGTGATCTAGAGTAGTACTTTGGAAACTCACTTACCCCTCCTTCCTTTTTCTCATCCCGACAGTTATCACCCGAAGTATGTCATCCGAGATTTGCGGCATCAGCTCCGAACTCACCTTATGATATGATCTTCGGAATGGCTCTTCTGCGACATTACGCCACGGTATTTGATTTAACTGGCAGAAGAGTGGGTTTCACCCAACTGATCGGATGATCCATATAATTCAGCTGAACTTACTGGTTGTTCTGACGTTAGAATTCTAATATATGCGTGATAAAAAATATTTCAAGTACATTCCCTTAGATTTCTGACGTTATATCCCAATTGCATGGTTGATTTATGGACTAAAAACCTCGATTTCTTATTTACGGTTATAAGTACCCTGTGCGCTAATGAATAATCGTTTTTCAAAAAGGACCGTGGGCTGTAACCTTGTTTCTTAGGTACACTCTATAAATGAAGTTATGATATTCCCCAGTCATCTTATGAGGTCATTAAAAATACAGGTCTAAGAAGGTGAGCTACATAAATATAATGCTGTAAAGTCAGGAGTGTAACCAACAAGGTGCCTTTCTTTTTGGCCGCATTCAATACTTGGTGAACGCGGTTTAAAAGCGAACTCTGTGTCCGGGTGTAAAACTTTAATTCCCAGTGACCAAAGATAGTCATGCGATGCTGACTAGTCGATTATCATCGAGGATGAGTAACCGATAATTGCTTGCATTAAAAGGTCAGACGCGTACAACGGGAGCTGGTGATTTCATTAGCACAAGAAAACAAGGAACTCAGACCATAACTGTTCTTCGAGTTCGTTGCGATCCTTTGCTGATTTGCTTTAAGTCAGGATAAGATTATTCTCTTTGACCAATGCATTTTGGTGACGAGGAAGATCAATTAGATTTATCCGTTTCATGTATCTTGTTTCGATTTCATGACAAGTTATTACCGAATAGGTCATCGGAAAATGTGTTCCGGCCTTTCAGGTGCTGCACAGATTGTGTCGAGTGTCTACAAAAGTCCCAGCACACGGGCTATCTTTCCGGGACTTTGTCCCAATCATGCACATGAGCAGATGTATGTTGTGTTGCTTACTTGAGTATCAAGAGGGACAGCGGGTCCCTTTGGAAATTTTATATGTTTCCTGGTTGTGTAGACCAGTGGCAGCGTGTTGTTTTGTTCCCTTGATATACTACCTAATGGTAGTACCATACAGCGACTTGAATACCAAATCATGAGTACACGTCTACGTTTAGGGTCAGAGTTTAGTTTTATAGCACATTTAACGGAGTACCACAGGGGCGCAGACACAGAATGCCCAGACTGAGGGTACCTCCTCAAAGTATTTTCTAAACGAGGAAACCTGTGTCCCTTTCCACTTTACCTGTTATTTGAAAACCGACATAGGTAGCACGAATTTTAAGTGAAGGATGAAGTCCACTTGGACATTATTTGGCTTTCACAGAGCAATCAAAGAGAAGCTGGATTTTCGTTAAATAAACTAAACTCATCAATTAGCTGTCAAGAGGCGAGCACATCGTCAAGTTAAAAACTCAATTACAGTAACTCAAGGCGTTTCATACTGAAATACAAATAAAAGATAAACTATTTCCGGAGTATCGCCAGCGCGTCTTTACTTACACAAACACAACCAGTGAAGAATGTTGCCCTGAGCTCGTGGTGCACATAAAACATTTTAATCGAACTTGTGTTGCACAACACTACTGAAATTCTCACTAACTGAGTAGCTCGAGTAAGTGACTTTAGCGTTCTTATCGTAATGCGTTTCTATTGATCATCAGTATGTAAATTTCACCCCTTAATCTGATCGGTGCAAGATCACCAGCTCCATCTAACCGTGCTGACTGACCCTGTTTAATAGTCCACAATACCCGTTACCTTACCTTCCAAGGCCAACAAAATAGCTTATTTTATGCAAATTGTTCACAAAACCGTAGGGTTAACTTTTAAGATAATGATAAAAAATCGGTTTATAGGACATCTTGCCCCCTAATTGTAACTCTCATCCTCGAATCGAAAGTCGTTTTTATCGAAAAACCTGGGCATACTAGTTAACCCAACACGGCGGCGTCATATGGTTTTGCAAAGTGCAAATGCAGAGTGTAAGCAGATATGGGGTCAGGCCTCCAGTTTTTACAGAGACAAGGAGCTAATTTGTCTGTTTCAACCAGCATATTTCATCTTATTACATGATATATAGTGGACGGTAAGGAAAGACAAACTAAAGATAGGCGGAGTCTGTGGTTTTACATACAGTGCGTCTCCGTAGTCAAGTTTACGGGCCACTGGTGTCTGAGATCCAGTTGGAAAATTGTGCGGCTGGCATCGTATTCGATTCAGCTGTTGGAAAACGCGGTTTCAGAATTTCGCATCCCAAACAAAGCAGGCAATGACGATCACTTTAGTGGTTTCGTCTTCTGATCCGGAAACTTCAGCACACGGTATTTGTTACCAAAATTGTGACCGTGCCCTACTCCCTGTGAACCTAGCCTATTACCGACCTTCTCGGGCAGCAATATTACGTGGTATTTATAAAGCCGACTCATCCTATCACAGAAAATAGTTGCTGTAAAGTAACTAAGTAGGCAGTAGTAAAATAAGATTCGACTTGATCACCAACATCTAGTTCAACTTGCTGATGAGTGGCATTTATGTTGCTGAAGCTCAGTGTAGTATTAGTGGAAAAAAACACTAANCATACTTTAGATATTCTCCGCTTCCGCAACCAAAAACCTTTACGAAATTTCACAGCTTCTGGTAAGTGCAAGCCCAGTGGCCGGACAGTTATCCTGAAATAGAGGAGCTTCCATATAACTAAGGCTAGTCCAAAGCACGTCAGAATGCTTTCTACAGTACGGTTTATGTAAAAGTAGCTTGAGCCAACCGAAAGTAGAAAACGGGCTGTTTTTTCATGCAATGTAAAATTAATGATATGCCCACGAGTGTCCACAAAAAGGCATGCATAAAACTTGGAAACTGTCCGGTTGAAGTGCTCAATGGGAAGATAAAACCTAAATTCTTGATGAGAAATAGGGGGTTGTGAAACTGCATTATAACGAATTTTGTGAACAGCAGTCATGTATTGTCCCCAAGAGTTGTTGCTACGTTCACTGTAACTTGTCAAACCCAATTCTGAGAAAAGTATTTTAAAAGGAAGAAGACTGTCTAATTTGGGCAAATAAATTGACAATGAACTTTAATTTTGGTGCGTGGTGTAGCAACACCACATATGGATATACTGATGGTGTTACCTTGATTGAAAATTAAGCGTTTTAAACCAGCTCAATAAAAAGTGGAAAGATAATCGGATCTGTCTGAACTTTCAACGTTCTTCACGACAGTAGAGCTTTCTGTATTATCGAAACTCCTCCTGCCAGTACTCTTACCCAAGTGCACCAAGTGATTGATTTCCCGACCAACAGGACAAGTTAAATAATGGTAACAAAATAAAACCTAAGCTGGATCGAAAGAAATTTGTTTCTGTTGACGAATAAGGAAATTACCGTCCACTACTCATCAGTGATTTGTGGTGCGTAAAAATGTTTGATGATAACAATGGAACAGGCCATCTCGAAAATAGCATGAGGTGTGTTTTAAGTGCGAATTTATGAAAGCCCTGTCCACCGGCTTTATCAAATAATTAAGATAATCTGTGCTGGCAATATAGAAGCCGTTATTGCTTCGTTGATTGCTTACAGCACATATCCTGAACTCAAATTGTATTGTACAATCTAAGACATGCTTAACTTCAGAGCTTTTTACCGACCCCACATCAAGGGGTTGTTTTGGTAGTCTCTGTCAGGCAGTTCTTTCCATGGAACTCGACGGAGTGCTTTTCACGCTTTCTTGCATGTCGAAAATTGACGGATTTGAGCTATTGGGAGGTGTAAAATGTTGGGTATTGTAGCACTCTGCATAAGAGTAGGTTAAACATTCTATGGCATAAGCCTTTTTTGAAAGGTTTCTAGGAACTGTTTAGTTCAACACAACACACAAGAGGAAGACCCACACACTGCTCAAAACGGAAAATTCTGACACTTTTTATGGAACTAGAGGTTCACACACATGGTAAAATCTACAGGTATTTTTCCAGCTTGTGTTGCAGACTACCTGCTTCATCACCGTAGCTACTTTTTGCAGCTTCATCTGATGTTTTATCCACCGGATAGTTTAGTGGCATTTGCACTACGCCGAGCATGACACGAAAATCTTGTGACAAAATTTATTGCTCAAATTTCTTCACTCCAGTGGACTGAGAGTAGAAGAAGTGAAAAAAACTACGAGGAAATCATCTTGTATTTTACCTCAACTTTTTTCAGCAGTGAAAAATTTATTTAAAAGATATTCGCAGTACTAAGAATAATGGATAGTGACCCCGATCAATGAGTGTATTTTTTGTTTTTCATCACGTTATTTCCGTTTATTTAGGATTCAACAACGTTTATAATTTGTGACAGATGATGGATGTTATTTTTTACAATTTCACAATGTCTACATGAGGAAAGCAAAGACGACTAGCAAAATGTCTTCTTGACAGCTCTTCTACAATTCTGGTTAAATTTCCTGAGCTGTGGTGTGGTAACACTTTCCATTGTTAAGTGTGTGCCGCTAATCAATGAGGGACATCTGAAAATGATATTTCTCACCCATCACCTGACCAAACAGCGACTACTTAGAAAAAGTTGGATTCACTTTCAAGCTCGTTTTGAGAAATCGTTGTGATAAAATGCTGGAACCGTGCACCCATACTGGATGCATTGCTAGTGTAGATTTAACTTATTTGTGTTATTGACAAATCTCGCATAACTTGCGGATTGACTGCACAGACCGAATACAACAGACCGAGTGCTTACGCTCAACTGCTTAGGCTATTTGAATGCAGTGGCCAATATCCACAAACAAAATTACAGCTCCACGTTTCACTGGAAGATGGGGTTCAAAATCAATAAATTTGGGATCCCGCGTTTGAAAAAGATTTGGGATAGACTGCAAGAATATAGCTTACAACTGGGGTGAATGACAGATTCCGCTCCTAGAGCAGACTACCCACAGAGTCCCGACAAATTTTGATTGATGAAAGGCTCCGTTCTAAAAATGAGCACATTGTGTCCAAGGGTCAGTTCTCTCTAATGTGTCTGCTACCG